TTATGCAATAGTGTCAGTGTGATTAATTAAAATAATAAATTAATTTAAATTTATAAATTTAAATTTAGAAGATGTATATTTAAAAATGTAAAAAATGAAGGTTTGAAGCCCCAGTTTGAAGCCTCGGGGTTTCAAAACCATTTCCAGTAAATTTTGGGTGTAAGTTAAAGCTGACGTGACAGAGAGAAAGTTTGAAGCCCCGGTTTGAAGCCCCGAGGCTTGACCATTACTAGTGCTCTAACGCGTAATAAAAAAATCCTTCCCAAACAGACTAGCATGAAGGAGCTTCCAAGTCCCCACATTATCCGTTTGTCAGAGATCTTCAGGCGCGCCCATTGCTCCTCATCATTGACCTTCCAATTTAACCACTCTCGAAGATCATCTAACCTAGTAACAAGGAAATTATCTGAAAAAATATGATTAATCTTCAGAACTCGATCGTTTTATGCTCTGTGTTTATACTGTTTGCATGCTCTTCTTCGCGTTCTTCGGAGGTTTTAATCTCCATTTCTCCCAAAACCCTCGTAAAATCTGGTGACTCGGTGACGATACGGTGGTCCGGTGTCGATTCACCGTCGAAGCTTGACTGGATCGGGATTTATTCTCCGGCTACTTCCTCCCACGACGATTTCATCGGCTACGTGTTCCTGTCGTCTTCGCCGGGATGGGAAAACGGGTCGGGTTCGATCTCGATCCCTTTAGTGAATCTCCGGTCGACTTATCAGTTCCGGATCTTCCGATGGAACGAGTCGGAGGTCGACGACACGCGCACGGATGCCGATCATAATCCGTTACCGGTAACGGGACGTGTGGCGGCGGTTTCCGGGGAGGTTGGATTCGAACCGGGTCGGGGCCCGGAGCAGGTTCACTTGTCATTGACGGGTCGGGATGGTGAGATGCGGGTCATGTTCGTGACCGGCGACAGGAAGGATTGTTTCGTGAGGTACGGGTTGACCCGGAATAATATGGATCAGGTTGCGGGTACTCGGGTCAGAAGGTACGAGAGAGAACACATGTGCGGTGCTCCGGCCAATCAAAGCACTGGATGGAGAGATCCTGGCTTCATCCACGATGGTGTTATGGTCAATTTGATGGATGGCAAGAAATATTTCTACCAGGTTATACTTCGTATTTCATTATTTTTATCTATTTTTTTCTTTTGAAAAGTATTTAAAGGTTAATTAAACGTTAAAATGACTCATTTGACCCGGGATCTCACTTACAAAACTAATTGAAAAGTTGAATAAAAATTTAAAACATGTATAAATCATGAGGAATTTAGACTTTCCCTAAATAGCATCACATGTATTTTGTTTCTAATGTAGCACTTTTAGTCATTATACATTAGTAATTATTCAAGTAAATATTCGTCATCACTAGTCATTATGAACATTATTAAGTGCTATTTAGAGAATAAAACAGTTTAAGTCCTATTAGGGAAATGATTTAAGTTTTAGTGATATTTAGTGCAAATATTTCTTAAATCATTAGGCCTCCGTTTGGCAACACGGTTAGTTTTAGCGTTTTGGAAATACTATCTAAAAGTAGCTTTGAACGTTAGCATTTTTAAAATTAATCTACATTGTTAACATTTTATAAAAAATGCTAGCACGGATGAAAAACGTTGTTCTCAACCAAAATCTAAAAATTTATACACGATTAACAGAAGTCTCATTTCAACTAAAATAAAGAAGAATGTACGTGCAACTAAAATAAAGAATTACTCGGCACACATGTACAGGAGTATACTTCATACGGAGTATTATTTTGGCACACTTATGTTTTACGAGAAAAAATTGCGGATCTAAAATTCGTTTGTACTCCTTAAATTTTAAGATTTCTCGAATCTTAGTACGATATTAAAAATGTTCTCATGGACTTAAGATAAAATTGGTTTTTTAATAAAAAATAATCTTTCACGGACCTTCGAAAATCTTTTCTTCGATGTTGTTTCAAAGATTTTGATCTATGAAAGAAGTATTTTAAATGATCACCGACATGTGATAAAACAATATTTAATCAAAATTAATATTTCATAGACATGCAAACATATTTTTAATCAGATTTAATAAATTTAAAAAACTCACAAACTAGTTTTATGTTTGTGAAAAATATATTTTTGGCATACTCGTATTATACAACAAATTATTTTACGGACTCTCTATTGGAATATTTTCGGGTATGGAATATGACGGATTAGCTTATGAATTGTGAAAACACTTTCATGCAAAGTAATTTTGGTGGTAAGTTGTAAGCGTTCTAGAACGAGTATGTAACATGAAATGTAATGATATAATTATGACACTAACTTTTAATTTAAACCTCATTTTATATAAAAAAAAAATTCATGCATATACTAGGTAGTAAGGACTAGTGGGAGAGAGCATCAACAACAACAAACTCAGTAAAAAACTAAAATCTCACAAGTAAAATCCCACACAAAGTAGGGCACGAGAGTGTGCATGTAGTATAAAGTAGAGACACTCTTTCCAAAAGAAGCCAGCAAGGCAAGGATCACTCTTTTGTGAATAAGGTACTTCAAATTTTTGTAAGATTAGACCACAGTCAAACAAGTCACTCTATTTTGCCCATCACACATAGCATGAAAGAAAGAATGGGGATGCTTCAAGAAAGAGCACGATGTCAAAAAAAAAAAAAGATCTCTTGTGGTTTAAGAAAGAGCATATTTTCAGGTTGGAGGTGATTCCGAGGGATGGAGCAATGTCTTCAGCTTTGTATCCCAAGATCAAAACTCAAAGGAGACGTTTGCCTTCCTGTTCGGCGACATGGGGACTGCAACGCCTTATTCCACCTTCTTGAGAACCCAAGAAGAGAGCGAATCAACCGTGAGGTGGATCATGCGCGACATCCGGGCCCTTGGCGACAAACCAGCAATGATCTCACACGTCGGCGACATTAGTTATGCCAGAGGCTACTCGTGGTTATGGGACAACTTCTTCACTCAGATCGAACCAATCGCGTCCAGGGTACCCTACCACGTTTGCGTAGGCAATCATGAATATGATTGGCCATCGCAGCCTTGGATCCCAGACTGGGCTGCCACGATCTATAAGCAAGACAGTGGTGGTGAGTGTGGGGTGCCCTTCAGTTTCAGGTTCAACATGCCCGGGAACTCCTCGGAACCAAATGGTGCCATGGCTTCAATGGGGGGAATGTAAGTTAATTTAGGCACTCAAATTAACAGCTACATTTTTTGCCAAACACAAACTAATTTCTGCCTTATTTCACCTAGGCTTTATACGAATTGTGTTTTTCTAAATAGCTAAAATGGATGTAATCTTCTCAGAAGATTTAACTCTTTCAACCAAATAATGCATACCAATTGGACCCTAAATACTTGAATACATGCATTAGGATTTAACAATTAACTTTATTGCAGCTGAAACAATAAAAACAATATGTGAACACATGATGTTTTGTTTCAGGGGTTCAATGACGCAAAATCTTCCCAGAAGATTAAGCCATTTTATTTTAAGGGTTATGGGTTTTTTTTGAGTAATTTGGTTGAAATGGATGTTATTTTCTTAGAAGATTAAGACGCATCCATTTCAACCAAATTACTCTGACCCCAAACGGGCTCTTAAGTCTTAAATACACGCATAATGATTGAGCAATAAATCGATCTTTACCCCAAACGGAATCTTTAGTCTTACTGATCACATGATGTTTGGTTTCATCAGGGCTTCAATGACGCGAAACCTTTACTACTCTTTTGACATGGGAGTCATTCACTTTGTGTACATATCAACGGAGACGAATTTCCTCCCGGGGAGCGACCAGTACAGGTTCCTGGAACAAGACTTGGGGTCAGTCGATCGAGAGAAGACGCCATTTGTGGTTGTTCAAGGGCACAGGCCAATGTACACAACCAGCAGTGGCCACAAAGATGCTCCCCTGAGGCAGAGAATGGTCCGACACTTGGAACCCCTCCTCGTCAGGAACCGTGTCAGCCTGGCCCTGTGGGGCCACGTCCACAGGTACGAACGCTTCTGCCCTATGAGCAATTTCACCTGCGGCGATTCGGGGGCTTTCCCGGTGCACATTGTGATTGGGATGGGCGGACAGGACTGGCAGCCCGTTTGGGAGCCGCGGGCCGACCATCCGAACGATCCAGTCTACCCTCAGCCGGCGCGGTCCGAGTTCCGGGCGGGGCAGTTTGGGTACGCGAGAATCGTCGCGGACGCGGTGAAGCTGAGGTTTGATTACCTGGGGAATCATGACGGGAAAGTGCATGATGTGGTTGAAATCCTGGCTCCATATCGCCGGCCGGCTGCTGCTGCTGCTGCTTCTCTTACACCTTATGGTGATTTGTGAATCTTGAGCCTCCTGCTTTTGGCATGGCTGGTTTCATGTCTACCCACCGAATGGGTGAAAGTGAGAAATCCCTCTTCTTACAGAACAGGGGAAGAGGGATTACAAAAAATGATGGTTGACTAACTTTTTTTTTTTTTTTTAAATTCACTATATACAAAAAATGAAATGAGAACATTGTTACTGAGCGCGCAAATTATTTGAAAGTAGGAGTATTTTGTTCATCTTGAATTTTTCGTCTCATTTCACTATTCGGTGATCAATTTTTTTATTTCTTTACTTATTTTTTAATAATATAATATAATCATATCATTCTTAAAATCATAGAAGATTTGATGCTTTTTTAAACACTGTAATAGGTGTGGACGGAGGGGGGTGGTGTGTGGAGGTGGCAGGGTGAATTGGATGGAAGTGATAGTGTAAATGGGGCCGAGAAAAGGGATAGGAAACGAGGCAAAGAGAGTGGAGATTTTTCTTTCAAGATCAAATGAAAATTATTTTCTCCTATTGAGAGAGAGTTTTTTCTCATAAAATATTTTCTTTCAAAAAAAAATATTATCAAATCACACGAAAATACAATAAAAAGTTTTCTAAAAAAGAATACCCAACGGCCCAACCAAACACATCCTAAATATAAGTTGGTACAAGTACAACACGTGGCATGCGTAGACTAGTCAATCGGAAAATTCTCCTCCGGGAAGTTCTTTCTCAACTACCCAATCGCCGCTCCATTCATTCTCATTTCTCGCGTTCCAGGTATCAAGGAATGACGACGCGCCACCTTCTCTCCCTCACGCGCCGCCCTCATCGCCTGAATGCATCATGCCTGAGTCAGTACACTCGATTCGCCTCCCATTTAGCTCAGGCTACCGAAGCTCCGGTAGCGCCTTCTCCGCCACCTCCAGACCTCATGATCTACGATCAATTAGCTGAAGGAGTGAAATCCAAGCTCCGGCGACTCGAGAGGCCGGACCCCAGGTTCCTCCGATACAATTCCCCGCGCCCGACTCAGACCGATCACACCTCGATCCTCTCTTCTCCGGAGACTAAAGTGACGACTCTCCCGAACGGCCTGCGTATCGCCACCGAGTCCAACCTCGCCGCGAAGACCGCGACGATAGGCGTGTGGATCGACGCTGGATCTCGGTTCGAGGCGGAAGAGAGCCACGGCGTGGCGCATTTCCTCCAGCACATGATCTTCAAGGGGACTGAGAAGCGGCCGCGCGAGGCTTTCGAGGAGGAGGTTGAGAACATGGGAGCGCGCATGAATGGTTTCACTTCGAGAGAGATGACCGCGTTCTCTGCCAAAGTCCAGGGCAAGGATGTCACCAAGGCGCTCGATCTTCTGTCTGACGCGATTCAGAACCCAGATATCGAGAATGAGAAGATTAATAACCAGCGCAAAGTGATTCTCCGAGAAATAGCAGAGGTATGAGTATGACCAGTTTGCTTTCTTGGTTAGTCATTTAGAATGCAGCCATTCTAGTTTTAAGTTTATAACTCTTTATAATTGTGTTTGCTGTTACTATTATTTCTTCGATTTCGGAATGATTTTGGAAATTGGAGTAATTCTTTATGATTGAATTGATTGAGCTTTAGATTGTTGAGTCGTTGCCTTAGACAGTTAAAAAACAATTGACCTTGTTTGTACGTGGACCTTGCCCCTATTTATATCATGTAAAGTACCCCCTATAAACTTGGACGAGCTCTCATCTTGTCGGTGCAATCTCTTACACCGCTTCTGGCCTTGGACATAACCCTTGAGCTATAATGCTATATGCACATAATGGCACAGTTTTGTTTTCCTGCCATCATTAGCTGATTTGACGTATTTAGAACATGTACTGTAGCTATATTTCTACTCTGGACAAGCATTGTTCTTGAGTCTTTAAGAGTTTTATGTTGGGCCAAACCTACTAAAAACCAGCACCGGTTAAACAATTTGTTACTTCCAAGAGTGTTCTAGAACCTACTCTGGACAAGATCTTGTTTTGCTGCTATTGTTTTTTTGCGATGATTCAAAAATTGAGTCCTCTACATCTCTTATTCAGCATACACAACTTTCTTAACCACTTCAGAATTTGTTACTTTTGTGTCCAATTTATGGTCAAAGGTAAAAAACTATATTAGATTTCAGTTATCCTCTATGTGATACGTTCGAGAGTTTCTTCACGCAGGGTGAAACAGATCCCAAGAAGATCATTTTTGATCATTTACATGCCACTGCATTCCAATTCACTCCTCATGGTAGAACTGTTATTGGATCTACGGAGAGCATTGAAAAAATTTCGAAGGACCACATTCAGGATTACATTTCAACCCACCATGCAGCTCATAGAATGGTACTGGAATATTGTTGATTACATTGTGCCACACTGCCATGATCATATAGTTATTGAAATTTTACTTTTTTGGAAATTATATATTTTTCTGTATATTTACATGTATTGTTGTTGTTGTTGTTATTATTATTATTATTATTTTCATTTAGTTTGTTAATCCTCAAATATTTCATGCATGCCAAATTTTGTTGTAGGTTATTTCTGCTAGTGGAGCTGTTAAACACGAGGATGTTGTTGAACAAGTGAAGAAGTGCTTCACAAAACTATCTTCTAACCCTGTTACCCCTTCTCAGCTGGTTGCAAATAACCCTGCAATATTCACTGGCTCAGAGGTGTGTGCATGATGAGCAGATTCAATGTCTGTATATTTGACATAAAACCATTGACATTCTGTATTATTTTATCAATAATAATCTTAGGTCCGGATTATTGACGAGGATCTGCCTCTTGCTCAATTTGCTGTTGCCTTTGCCGGTGCATCCTGGACTGACCCAGATTCCATAGCATTGATGGTCATGCAACAAATGCTTGGATCATGGGACAAAAGCTGTGGAGGGGGAAAGCACATGGGGTTGGTCTTTCTTATTCCTAAATACACCTAAATAGTTTGCTCTATTTGTTACATAACTGCTGTGTTGTGGATAAATGCTTTACAAAGTGGTAGTTGAAATTAAAATGCCAAGATTTGAATAAAATCGTGTTTGGGGTTATAAAGAATCAGCCCCAACTCCTGGGAATCTGTGATCCTGAAATAAAAGTGCTTTTGACTTAGAAGATTCCTAGGAGTCCCCAACAATGCAACATGGGTATTCCAAACGAGGGCTAAAATATATTGGTGTTTTTGCAACGTTAGGAAATGGTGGTTCCTAGGTACCTTACAATTCCTATTTTTTATCCCAAAGATGGGTATTCCAAGCAAGGCCTAACAATATTGCACCACGCCTAGGATTCAATCCCCCCCCCCCCCCACGGTCTACACACACAAAACATCCTAATTAGATGTGAATTATTAGTTAGTTTGCAGAACATAGTTGTGTGGGGCTAGGCTAATTCTCTAATGTACTGCTATAATGGTATGTGAACAGTTCACATCTTGTCCAAAGGGTGGCAATTAATGACATAGGTGAGAGTGTGATGGCTTTCAACATGAACTACAAGGATACAGGGCTATTTGGCATCTATGCCGTAGCAACGGTGAGTGCAATTCTGAGAAAATGTTATTTTATCTTCAGAGGAATGTATTCATTAAACGATTAAAGCTAATCATATGAATGTGAGATGCAGTTGTTTGTTCTATCTTCCAATCATTCCGTCCCTAATTCCATGGCGCACCATTGCAATATCTCATGTTTCTCTTGTGTCTGAAAATTAACATACTCCCTCCGTCCGAATTAATTGCAACACTTTGACTTCATGGAGTTTAAGTGTTGAAAAGTAAAAAGTGTGCAGTTGAAATTTGTTTAGAGGAGAGAGAAGAGTTATAGACCTTATAGACCACTTACTCTTTACTTGAAAGTAAAAAAAAATGTGTGAATATTATTTTGGGACAATCCGGAAAAGGAAAGTGTGAAGATTAATTCGAGATGGGGGAGTATTTCAGAGTAAACTATAAGTTGGTACTCATCAAATATCGATTTGGTAACTCTTGTGATGTGATCCAGTAGATACTTTGGGGTAAAAATAGGAATAGGAAATGCCATTATTGTTCTGAACACATCTCTCTGTTCACTTGGCTCGTGTTTTACTTCCTATACAAGGTTTCTTTTCCCTGTGCATTTTGATGTAGCTTGAATGCTCTTTTGCTTTTCGGAATGCTTCTACAATCTTACATTGAGAAATATTGAGTTTTCAACTTCTTTTCTCATGTTTGTGCTCTATCAGCGTGATTGCTTGGATGACTTAGCTTATTCTATAATGTATGAGATGTGTAAGTTATGCTACCGAGTGTCTGAAGATGACGTCATCCGTGCTCGTAATCAGGTTCTTGTCATTGATTAGAGTCTCTTAGATGGTTTTCTTCTATTGTCGCTAATATGATCCCCTCATGCAATAACTCTGCCTTTTTACAGCTGAAATCTTCTTTAGTGCAACAAATTGATGGAACAAGCAGCACTGCTGATGAAATTGGGCGTCAGGTATTAAATAATGGGATTGGTGAAGTAGTTGAGTTTTAAATGCCAGTGAAAAATTGGCAAAGTGCTAGACCATTGTAGAAATGAGCATTTCCTGTATAATTTTGGACAAGCATTTTATTATGGCATTGAAGTAGTATGTACCCCCTCCGTCCCAAAAAGGAGTTTTACCACAGTACAACGTCTTATTTCTAGTCAAGTTCAACTAGTGGAAATCATCCATTCTGGCTATGATTTATTTAGTTCCTGGTTCAACCACCTTAACATACCTGTTTTGGATACTTAAAAAAGTACATTAAATATACGGGGTGGTGAAATTCAGTTTTTTTTTCTTTTCAAATATGAACATTTTCTCCAACAAAATCCCCCCCCCCCCAAAGCTTTCTTTGGGATGGAGGAGTATTCATATGAGAGTAAAGCTATGAGAGTGAATGCGGAATCACCTTCAAAAGAATGAGTGATTTACACAGCTTCACTTGAAGGGTATTTTGTCCAATGCGAAAAATTCCCTGAACTCTTACTCTAGTCTTTCCTTGTCCCTGGCTTTATTCTCCATTTGCATGATGCACATTACTAGAAGTCAGTTAATAATCTATGGCCATATTCGTGTACTCACTTACGTTTCAAGTGAATCTTGTGCAGTTAATCACTTACAGCCGAAGAATTCCATTTGCTGAGCTATTTGCCAGGATTGATTCCGTGGATGCCAGCACAATAAAGAGAGTTGCCAACCGTTTTATTTTTGACAGGGTAAGGTCTTTCAAACTTGTATTCCTGTCATTATTTTGTGGTTAAGGGCTAGTGATTTATAATAGCCAGATTTTGCAACTTGAGCTTTGAAGCTCATTTCAGACCTAAAATTTCTAAATCAAACCAGACCAAACCTACCCAATATAACCCAGATCCCACTCTCGATTGGGATGCCATACCATACAGTCATACACTATGCAACCATGTTTTAACTTGTCCAAACTAGCCTTAAGGGGTAGTGATTTATTATGGTCATATTTAGAAACTTTGCTCCCACTAAATTCATAGTCTGAAACGCAGTTCATAGTCACTTTTTTTGTGCAACTAGTGGCGGTGAACCGATCTTAGGGGAGTTGATATCGTCATCTCAAAACAAGCTTCATAGTCGCTCGGAATGTGTTTTTTTAAGGAACAAAGTTGGGGAACATAGAATACAACAACAAACCAGTAAAATCTCACAAAAGATAGGGTCTGGGGAGGTTGTGTGTACGCACATCGCACACTATCCCTACTTGAATTGGTAGTATAGACTAAAGAGGCTATTCCCAAGAGAAAACAGAGTGACAATATCAAATTTGGGGCAGACAACATACACTTGAGTTTAATAATGTTTTTCTAATGTTGCAGGACGTTGCAATAGCGGCAAGGGGACCGATTCAGGGCTACTTGCCAGACTACAACTGGTTTAGGCGCAGAACATACTGGCTGCGCTACTAAAACATTTACTACTATTCCTTTTTTTGCCAACATTTTTTGGTTCTTCCTACTTTGTGTGTACTGTGGGGATTGGTTTTAGAATAAATCTGGGGGGGGGGGCAGTCTATAGTCTACAGAAGGTTGTGACTGTAAATAATATGGGGGGTGGGGGATCACCTTTTCTTTCTTTAATTTGTACAAATGGTGATCCCTTTAGAGCAATTTTAGTCCTTTCTCTCACTTTCCCTCCTCTTTCTCCTATTTCTCAAGCCACATCACTTTCCCCTCTTTCTCCTTTTATTACCTTCTGTCCTAGTGTATTTGTCTTGTTTGACTTTTTTCAAGTCAAACTCGACAAACTTTGAGTTTAAACTATTCTCAATTTTTAATGCATATTAGTATTATGAAATAATATTTTGAAAGTTTTTAACAAGATAGATCCAATAAAATTATTTTATACTAACATATACTTCAGTTTGACTCGAAAAAACCAAACTGGAAAAATATACTGAGAGTGGGAGAGTATATTGTATACCATTAAATAATAAATACTCCCTTAATAGAATTTCAAACAATACATTTCAATTTAAATGATAAAAAGTTCTCTAACAAACTATGTTGAAAATGTTCTAATTAACTCTTTAAAAATTTATTGTTTGCTCTCTTGTAAAATTGATAGTAATTGTTTGGTTTAATGTGTAATTATTATTGTACCTCACAACTTAATTGCAACGATTTCAATTTTTTTATATTAGAACATTTTCCAAATCCTATGTGGTCCTCATTAAGCATACATGGCTAAGTGGTGGAGCCTCTCTTGTTTTTACACAGATAATAATGTTTTGTACTCTGTATTTCTAGAAATTACATCAAGAGTCACATATATGGAGCTTGTTTGGTTAAGAATTTTTTGGAATATATTCAAATAGGCATATATTAGCATTCATTAATGTAACAAATAACAAATATTATACGTATTCAAATTCAATTTGTTCAAAACATATAGCAACTGTTTGTAATGTGCGTACATAGCTTATTACTGTTTGTATGTGTTTCTAACATACTTGATGTACAAAAGTGGTATACCATTTAGTGTACACCAACTTTTTCATAGAGCTATCATTGTATTAGAGTTGACGTGTGACTATTAGTTGATTTTATGATCAACTCTAATAAAACATACTCGAGCCACGGTGATGTGATGAAAGGAGTGAAATACAATGGCGTTGACACATTTCGAAGAAGTATTGTTGTTATTCCATCTGTCCCAAGAATATATGTACGTTTACTGTATTTTATATAAGTATTGAAATAAATTAAATTGATAAAATTTCAACTAAGCATCTTAAATCGTAATGTCAAATTCATTTTAGAATTAGGAATGAAATATAAAATGTTTGGTGTAAGTTACATCAAGATCCATTTTTGTACGGATGAATTTACAAATATGATTGAATGTATTAGATAGATAAATCTTAAAGTATTATAGTGCAAAGAAGTCTGTTTGTAATTATCATTTCCTTTTTGAAACAATTTATATTCACAAACTTAAATTTAAAGTTAATGGTTGCCGCTCTAGCTCAGTTGGTAGAGCGCGTGGCTTTTAACCACGTGGTCGTGGGTTCGAGCCCCACGGGCGGCGAAATTTTTTTTTTGCCTACTTTGGTTTTTCCTCATTTTTAAAATTAATATATTTGGTTAATGAATGCCGCTCTAGCTCAGTTGGTAGAGCGCGTGGCTTTTAACCACGTGGTCGTGGGTTCGAGTCCCACGGGTGGCGATATTGTTTTTGTCTACATCTATTTTTCCTCTTTTCTGAGTTTAATTTATATACTTTCTCTGAAATTTATTGTCATCAATTACCGCACTGTAATTCAAGCCTTTACCAAGAACATCACTTTGGATAAGAGCGTTTGTAAATTTATGCACTTGCCCCCCACGGCGAAATTCTGGCATAGTACTACCAGTGGCGACCGGCGTTGAATCTACATAGATCGTGCCCCCGCGATTGGTTTCCGATTTGTTGCATACTTTTTTTAGAATGTGTTTTCCAAAAAAATAATAATTCAGATTGTTTAACGACATCGTAGCGAAATGATATTTCTCTTTTTATTTTTTAATGGTTTTGACTTTTGAGATCAAGAATGCTTTTTGGAGTTTTTGCATTTGAAAAACGACCCAAAACGTCGTAATTTAGCATAGATTTTTAGGAAAAATAAATTAAAAGGCCGAACCCATATATCACTTCTAAAACCCACTCATCATACTTCAGGAACTCAGTAAGTCTTAAATATTGAAAAAGACTTGGGGACACACAATGTATATAGCTAAGCAAACAAGAGAATAACACAGATTTTATTGCACAATGGTTTTTTTTTATACAAAGGGTGGCTTAATTGAACCTCCCCATTAGTTTTTTGAGCTCCAAATACAAGGAGGAAGACAATGAGCCATCTATTGATTCCCTGGTTTCGCGCCATTGATAACGGGCGAAGCACCTCTGAGGGTCTTAACATAGGACGCGTATTCACCGAAGCCCATGGTAAATAGTGAGCTTTGGTAACGGGTGAGCCGGATGCTCTCTCGCAGCTTTGAGGAAATGGAGCCACTGTAACCTGCCTTTCTAATCAGTGAGTCGATTGCCTGTATATTCGTCCAGCCTGGTGGATATGATAAGTAGTATAAGAAACGATGCATCAGAATGAAGACTGCTTATGGAGTGTGTGGTTTCATGCTTAAATGCTTCCTGTCAATTGTGATTGTAATTAAGATAGAGAGATGGGAAAGATTTAAACTACCTTCAGCAGCAGCAACCTCAGGTAAGTAGGTGGCACTTAGCTTTCTACCAGAGTTGGGATCAGTAAATTCAATAATTATTCCATGCTTCCCAACCTGCATTCACAACAATACAACAACAACAACATTACCCAGTGCCTCAATGGCTCCCGCCCATTGCGGGGTAGGGGGGGGGTCGGATGTACGCTGACCCCATATGTTTAAAATATAGTCGCTGTTTCCAGATGACCCATGATGAGCGTCGAAAGTTGCATTGACTAACTGCTACTTCACAATTGCAAGAAGCGCAAACAATTTAAAGAGCCCATTTGCTTTATTCCATTATACCCCAAAGCTCCATAGGGGAATGGAAATAATGTTCCAAAAATGCATTAGGTGTGATTTTTACAAGGAGTATACTTAGTGCTCATTTGGTAAATATTTTTTTGGTAGAAAAGCCTTTGGTAAAAGTCATTTCAGCCAAATAAGAAAGTCAAAAGCTCATTATCTGCTTATTCTGCTAGTCTTAGAGTTCAAGTTCAGGCCTTTAAGAAATGCACATGCCTATGCTAGTGAACGGTGTAAATCGAATTCCTCATGTAAAAGAAAAAAGAACAAATAATCTGCAACACCATGCACACAATCGGCACAAGCCTCAAAATTCAACAAGTACTAAACATTTGTTAAAATGTGTGCTCTCAGGGAATTCAAATAAGGAAGTGTCATCGGGACGATTTGATAGATCAGTCATCTACTGCAACTTGCAAGCTAAGAGATATAACTCAGTTTCAGATGGAATTCAATATAGCACTAACCTCCCAGTCAAGGTAGCCATTTGCAGTTTCATAGTTAGTCAGTATTGAAACTGTACATTCCAATTCAGGAAGTTCTTTAGCTTCTATGGGGGGAAACCGTCGGTCCTTGAGGGCACTGAAAATTTGGAAAGATGAACTCAATGACACCTTTTAACAAGATCTACTCCGTATATATTACAAGTAAATGCCACATAAAAATTGAATTCAACTATATTAGCAGACGAAATATTGAAATTTCAGGCTGTAAACAGCATTGAGAATTTGAGATTGTCATGTGGGGTAGGTGGCATTAAATTTATGTTGTGCCAATTAATTAATTGTGTAAATTTAATTAACACTAAACTTATGCAAAATGCATTATGGTAAATGGTAATGTTTTACGCCCGGTGCCCTTCTTGTTTCAACCTTCACGCAGAATAATGAGATGAAAGTTATCATCCGTCGATCTATTCCCATGTGCATGGAAAATATCATGAGATTGCAGTGAGTATAGAGATAATTTCTATCAACTCTATGGGACATTAGCAGAAGCATTCATAAAATGATGTATGCAACAACATCAACAACAAACCCAGTATAATCCCAATCCGTTGGGGGTCTGGGGGTCAAGATATATGCAATCTTACCATTGTAAAAAATAGAGGGGTTGCTTCCGTTAGTCCTTAGATGCATAGATACATTTCATTTACTACCCCAAGCTTCATAGCACATAAGAATAATGAGAAGTTTAAAATATTGTCACTTGGCAATGGGAGCAAGTATGCGAAAAAACTACAAATCAACAAAAAAACAAGCTTTCATAGAAAATAGAAGACACACAGACCACACGTTTTTTTCTTTCAAAACCCCAATCCAGATCAAAATGATGACCACACTCTTGTACTAGTTATACATCACGTTTCTCAATAGACGATACCTAAAAGTGATAAGTAAGAAAATACACGAGTAATTTAAACTACTCATACATGACGAGTCAGAATAATGAGCACCGAGATATGTAGTACTCCATGTCTCCATTGAATATTGATATTTCGAGTTCAAAAACTATATTGTGTAACCATATACCTTGTTAAAGCATATTCCCTGAATCCATTCATTATGGGGAGAGCTTTCAGAGTCCCTATGCATCCACGTAGACTTGGTTCGCGACCATTGGTCGCTTTCTTCCACGTTACAAACAATGGACTGAAACCAAAGTGCAACATGGACATAGCATATTCAAACATGTCATTAAACCTTTCATATTATCTAAAGTATAAAATATTCGTTTCGTAACTTAACAAGAAAATAAACAAGGAACAGCCGTGGGGTTTTGGATAGATTGGTTTTTCAAGTGAATAAAATATGAGAATTACGAACATAAAAATTGCCATTTTAGTATCCAGTATGGAGTTATTTTACCATGGAAATCACTTGCATTAGTATAAAATGAGAGCCTCAATTCATTTGCATGCCTCTGAGACTCAAGAGCTTAACATGTAACTCTAAAAGCCCAGAAATAAGTAAAAACCCCCTTGATTCCATAAGAAGGAGCATGCATGGTTACTAAGAAAATAAAAACGGTGTGATTTAGATTTACGCA